TACTTGTAAAAAATACTCACAAATTAGATTTTGAAAACAAATTCATGTGTCAACTTTAACTTTAAAATTTGTGTAGGAACCAGGAACATGGCAGGAGGTCCTCTTTGGTTTGGTAAATAGGTTTCTACATATTGCCACTAATGGTTAAAATTAAGTTACATGTGAATCTTCAATTATATATTTGACCACCAAGGAGAACAGTATTTGAGATGGAACTTCCTGTTTACTATATTTATTGGTGACAACAAAGTCAATCATCTTCAGTGGGTTAAAGAAATGTTCCATAGAAATAACAGTGATAACAAAAACTTTTAATACAGGGAGTCTGCATTATTTGTGCGAGGTTTCTTGATCTTGTCAAGATTCTTTGTAATGGTGTCATGTAAAGAAAGCTGTAGAAGGAAATCAAATGCACAGACATAATAAGTACCTTCAATTTTAAACAATTGAAACATTTGTGTAAAAAGTATATCTATTGAGTTCATAAGAGCTGTCATTGTTGCTAGCTGCTAGTCAATCACTGAAGGTTAAGTGAATTTCAGAGATAGAGTTAATGCAGTAAGCAAAATTATTTCACAACATAGTACATTTGATGCCTTTCACTATTTACTGTTGATCAAGGAAAAGATCATTTGAAAACATTTCTAAGTTGAAAACAAAATTGTTCTTACATAATGGTTTCGCAGCTCACAGCAACAGAGACGTAGGCTGGTAAATTCCTTCTCATCTAATTCAATCACAGCCTGTCTGTAATCATCCTGAAACATAAGCAAAAATAAAGCAAATGAATGGGTAACTATAGTTACAATTCATAAGGAAATAAGAGCAATCACAAGAAGTTTCATTTACCATAACACCTAATAATATGCATGCAAAAATTTCAGCATGCTCCTAGGCAAAGAACTGGTCAATTAATCCCAAACAATGCAGAAAGTTGAAATTGAGTGCAAAACGTTGAAATTAGGTGCAGAACCTAGAATTAAATTGACTGACAGTAATTAGTAGCAAAAGCACAATAAAACTAATGGCAGACAAGCTCAGACAAACAACTGGCTAAAAGTCTGCAAGTTTTGAGCTTACAGAAAATAGCTATGACTAAAGTAGTGAAATGTGCTAAGTAGAGACCTTGAACAAAACTCTTAATGCAATAAGTTTAATACAACAGTTTATAAGAACAACAAGGAAGATTTCAAGCATAACAACCTTTACATAATGGTTTCTGCTTTTTATTGATATCTAATTAGAGATATCACAGAGTTATAAAGCTCAAAGCAAGTTCTTTAGGGAAAATACTCTTCAGCAATATGGAAAATGCAAAGTGGAAATGACACAGAATCAAACAATTGCAGGACAATTATCGACAACTTACTAATTGTGGGTACTTTATGATTTTGGAGACAAGTTTTCCTCTTGTGATGTAATACCTGCAAGTCATAACATTATTTTACCATTTCTATCTTTTGTTTCTGGGGGTTTTGCTTCTCTACCTAATTAACACATTGAAACAATTGTTGAAAGACACATGGAATTACCATTAATGATATAGAAATATAATAATGTAATCCAAATTAAGAAATCCCTCTTAAAAAGTACATCATTTAAATATTACTACTTCATTTTAATATTTGCTTACTCCCTTGTCAAATTGAAGCTTGAATTATTTATTATTTCCAATAAAGCAATTGAGTGAGCACCTTGATATCTGGTCCAGAAATGTGGCTGCTTCTCCTTCAATTCTCTGTACTTCACTGAGAGTTTCTTCCTTCAGTGTATCCATTGAGATTCAAAAAGACATTTTAAAGTCAGGTAAGAAAGTGTGGAAGTCAAATTTATCATTTACATTTACAGAGAACCACAAACAAGTTTCTGCAAGTTACTAATCCTTTCTCTATGTATTTAATATCTAGACCATAATTCACAGTTCATTATTTCTTAATGTGGTTGAGCTCTGCAGTACCTGAATGGAAACACCAAAGTTATTTCCATCCTCTATTCTTGGAATTAGTAACTGAATCCACATCTTCACCTTTAGAAAAAAAAAAAAAACAGAAACAGTTCTACACTGTACAGTAAATAATACAGAATTTAGCTAACAAACAAGTTATTGCATGACTATAAGTTTCAGTCAACCTTGTTTTTCTTTGTGCATACATATACACACTGATTTTGTTTGGTCTCTAGTGTGGTCTTTAAAGATTACCCCCCTGTTTGGCTAAAGATATTTGCATAAGATCCTCAGAAGAGTATTACAATTTTGGAGGATGCAACTTAACCTGAGGGACTGTAATCAAACAAAGAAATCTCCCAAATTTACTCACATTAGCCATATCTGACACAAAAACTTTAAAACCATATGAGAACTACCACCATAACATTTAGAACATATGGCTATAAACTTACAGTATTACACTTTTCCATCAATGTCTGGATTTTTGGTTTCAGAAGTTCAATTACTTGCAAAAGATACTGGAAAAAAGAAGGGGTAATCAAGAGGTGTTAGTCAGAAAAGATCTTCAAAACACCAATAATCTCTTAGTAACCATTGTAACAACATCAATGTGTTACTGCCTACGCAAGAAGAAATACTCAGAACATTACCATTTTGTTTCTTTTAAATCTATTACAAGATGTGTTGGTGATGATGAAAGTGTTCTATCACACATTACTCTGTGACAAGCCATATTTGTAATTAGAATAAGAGAGACAAACATGACCCTATCAACATTGCTGATTTTAGCAGTATACAGGACAAGTGTTATATCAACTTTGTAATAGACCTTGCTCATCTAGAGTCTCTGTGGCTCAGTGGTAGAGCATCTGAGGGCAGGATCTGAAGGTCTGAGGTTTGAGTCCTCATGGGGATTCAGAATTTTTTTCTTTGTCCCACACTCATGACAAAACAAAAAAACATCTATTTCTTTATTGAGCTCAAAACTTACCATCTCTCTTATTCTACTCTTACCTTGTTGCAAGGAATATGGGTAATGAAAGCTAACAAGAAGGAAAAGAGAAAGAATAAACAAACAAAAACAATTGATCAGTACAGAATGTTCTGCCAGAGGGAAGTTGAAAGACCAGAGCTTCAAACTAAAACCAAGGAAATGAAAACTCACATGACAAAGAATGATTAACAATTTGAGCATCATGACCATCTGCCACCTTTCTCTTTTTATTGCATGGCTACAGGAATAAAACCAAACATTGACCACCACAACATCTAAAAACAAATCCCAGTTCAAGGCATTGTGGGCCACACAGAATAAAATTCCATGTGCTGCCTGGCATTTTAGCTTAAATAGACATAACAGTGTTTGGTTTATGTCAAAATGCCCATTAACATCCATTGCTTATAGTTTTCGCCCTAAAAAACCTTTGAAGCCAAAAATGGATGAAAATAGATGGTGGAGTACAGTCTTTTGGTTCTATTGAAGTCACAAATCTATATTGCCTAAAAGTAGAGATTTAGATCAGTAATAGACAAATAATTTTGATTGTTTTCCAACTAAATTCTACTTGGTGCACAATTCACATTTCACACAGCAACTCAAGTCAAAATTGGTGATGACATAAAGTCACCTTAACATGAGCTCACCTCTGCATCAGTAACGGTATCATTTTTATAGACTGGCATGTTAACAGCTTTTTGTACTCTGACTATGGAATCCTTGTCAAACATGTCGGACTGAAAAAAATTGTTTTCTGATAAAAGAGGGGCTGCAGGACGGTAGAAAGTAATCAATTGGTTTGCAACATCAGTGATCTTTTGTGCATTGAGTGGAGAGTGATCATTATGGGAGGGAGGTAAATCTGCACATTGGAGGAGAGATTTTAGTGAGCTGTGCTTGCAATCCACAACACTATTCTCGTGGAAGCCTGTTAATTTCTGTTGCCTTGTGGCCAACAAGGTGGATCTCGTATTTTTTGCAGAGTTCAAGTAACTCAACACATTCGGCAAACGGTATTTGATCCTTACCGCCAATTATCAACACTGACTCGTCAATTTTCAAAAATCAGCTCTAAGTTGTTTCTTACGAAAAACTCTTTAAGCTTCTTTTTTTTTTTTTCTAAAACAAGCAGATATATAGATGTACCAGGGATGGGTATACTGAAAGAAAACGGCTTCTCTTGCTCAGACGCTTCATGAGAAGAATGCACATCGATCTAAGAATTTTTTCTTTTTGTCTAGTGTCTATTGTATAAAATAAGTCAACTCGTATCCTGTGGTATGAGCAGTTACGATAAAAATACTTAAAGATCACTACAAAGAAAACACTTATATTTTGACCCAGAACCTTCCGAATTCGGATCTGAGCAAGAGATCACGACCTAGAACTTGTACTTCGCTAGGACAAGTACAAATTGATCTTACCTTAAGAAGCTTATCAAGTTCAAACACCCTGTCCGGAAAGAAATTTTTCACCGCATCTTCAGCCTGAAAACGAAACGAAAATATTAAAGAAGACTAACGAAAAAGAATCAGAGATGTAAATTTTGCTGCGCAATGCACGAAAATGCTCACAAAGAACCATCTCAAAAACGTACCTCCTTTCTGACGGTTTCGTGAAAATCAGTAAGCTGGAACTCGCCAAGAAGAAATATTAATAAAAAGAACACAACGTACAACGTTTAAATTACAATAAATGTAAAGAGTTTCTTAATGAACAATTCGAAGCTAAAACAATTACAGAAATTGCCGGTGAAGAAGGAAAGTTATGTGGACATACGAGCCGGGCACACACCCATGGCTAAAACGAAAACCCAAAAAATAGCAAAAGATATCGCTACCTTTCCTCTAGACGAATTATTCATATTCAACTTCGCAAGTTACAGACCACGAGGAAAATGGAGAGAGAGTGAAATTATAAATGAGAACCTTACGAAAACAGTCAATTTCGCGGCTTTTTTCACAAGAGACCGCTGACAAACCATAGATGCATCCTGGGTCTCTCTACAAAAGCCTCGTTGTCAGAGACACTAAGAATCCTGAGAACGAGGCTAATTCTAAAAATCTGGAATTTACAGTACCTTTATGAAAACAAAATAGTAATACTATCTGGAATCTTGCCTCGCCAGTCACAGAAGCTTCACTGTAGTGTGTCAACATTTATATCTCTGTCTGATCCTGTTCAGCTGTTATCGCTTTCCTGACCGCGTAGTCAAACTTTACAGGCCGCCGAAATGAGCGAGAGGGATGTTGTTGCAACTTGGGACATAGCTCTGTCCGACGGGAAGCATAGAATTCAGTTTGAACATGGCACTACTACCGGCAAGCGAGTGATTTTGGTCGACAATGTGGAAGTTATACGGAATAATTGGATGTTTAGACTTGTGGGCAAAGAGAGTTTCTATGTCGGAGGAAAAAGAGCAACTATCCATATAGAGGCAGTGAGTGGCTTTCAATACGAATACACTCTTGAAATTGACGGCAAACCACTTAAGAAGTTCGTGGAAAATCGCAAGAAAACTGCTAAAGTCTGGACATTTCTTCTCGACGGCGTGGAAACACGAATGGTGCTGGGTAAGGATAAGTTTAAATCAGCCAGGGGCGGCGGTATAATTGTTATTACAGCTTTTGTCGACTGTTATTTCCATCGCTGCCAATCGTGTTTGTATTTCAGTCAGTAATATGGGAAGGGTGATGGTGACATGACTGACAACACTGTCTACCACTCCATGCATTTCTCTCAATAACTTTTAAGCAGGGAATAAAAAAATAATTTCAAAGCTGATATCATTTGTGTGTGAACAGAATCAATAGATTGAATACGAAGTTTCCATGGGTTTGAGATTTATCACGATCAAGTGTAACTGACAGCCTGCGCATTCAGATTTCCATAAGCTCGTTCTTATTTCGGGGCAGGTGTTTCTATCAAAGGAATCAGTTGTCTGATTTTTTTTTCGACGAAGGACAACAACTTTGAAACGGTTTGCAGTGCAGTTGATACAACAGGTTACCTTGGTTTAAATTACCAACAACTACAATTAATTACAAAATGTCCACAAGTCTAAATACATAAATAAATGATCACATATGCACAAATATAGATATATACACCTTAGTGAGCTTCATTTTCGTTTAATACCCAGCCCCTCTCTTTCTTTATGCATCATACATTGAAACAGAGTCAGTGGAATTCAATTCAAAGAGCTTTGTCAAGCTATTTGTTTCATATGCCAAGGTCTGTAAAATATCAAAACAAGAAGAAAGTATCACTTTAAACAATGTGTTCTAACTGTAATATTTTGGTTAGTTTTTAAACAAATGTGGATTTAATTCTACTTACTTTTTCAGAGAAAGATACCATGGAAGTGTGGGTGAATGGAGTGGTGGTGGAGACAGCTGTGAGTAAAATTATAATAATCCATGTTCATTTGACTGATGATGTGCTTGTATCCAGTTGATTTACTTCCAGCCTTTGCCATGCATTACTGCTTTCATTGTTCAGATGAATGAAAGTTTTCTTTTGTTTCTTGTTCTGTAACAGATCTCAAAATTTGCCTCTTGTTAATTCATTCACTTACAATTTTCAGGGTGAATTTGTTGATGATGGAACAGAAACTCATTTTACCTGGGCCAATCACACATGTTATATCAAAGCCATTAGCTCTGGAAAGAAAAAAGATGGAATTATTCACTCCCTGATAATAGATAGTAATGAAATTCCGGAGACAATGGATGAATGACATCACCGCTCATAAGCAAATGTAACTGCAATGACAGCCACATTCCTCTGCACATTTCACATCTAAACATTTGCTCTAGTTAATTTCAACAATATAACCCTGTCTTCATGGTAGTGTTGCTGAACACCTCTTTGAAGGGTACACTGTTTGAAACAATACTGTTACCGAAAATAAATTTTACAGCAATTGTGATTATTTGTTAGTAATGCAGTAAACTGAATCCTTCACTAAACTATAATTCTATGAAGCTGATACCCAAGTAGGTGTTTGTATGTTGGAAATAATGAGGGTAAAAGGGCATGTCAAATCACAGCTGTGAGTCCTATGGGTCTGTAACAGGGACCCTTTGATTATTGTTTGTTCTTTTCTCAGAATTGTTTTAACAACCTTTTGCCCTCATGTTGGCCAACTTAAGCTTTGATTATTTTGCTTGGCTTCTCATTTCCTGATGATTGGTAGAATAGAGGGAAGATTCCCTTCTACATACTTTGTAGTCTGTGGTTTACCATAACATACTAAAATTTCCTGAGGAGATCAAATTATCAGTCATGCCAATTATGCATACAGTGTACATGTGTATTTAACACTAAACTTTGTGACTGAAATAAGTTGGTGCTTCTGTTCATGTGATGTTTTTGTGCAATGATATTACTTCTTGCTGCAAATGGAATGGAAGTGGTGCAACAAAAAAAAAATCAGGGGCTGCTTGATTTCCTTCATGCTCTCAAATAGTGACTTATCCATAATCCAAATATGGAAGCCACTTTCATAGACACTGATAGGTGCAAAGAAATTTCTTAATATTGTTCCTGTAGATGTCAGCAGGTTTGGGGTATTGAACTGATTGGAGTATGGTCACCCATTAAAGTATTACACAGTGAAAATGAGATAATTGCTGATACCAGTATAGTTCTGGCTAAAGATTTTGTTGACCTGACAAAGCTGGAACTGTATGCAGTACTCATGGGTATGTGGCTTTGTGGTTCTCTGGCATTTCCTACTCCCAAACATGCTTGGTTTATAACACAACTAACATTAAAGATATAGTTCAGTTTTTCCTTGTTTACATTGAGTTATTTCATTTCTGATAGCTGTCACAATCATGTGTTTACCAAGTGTCTCTGTATTTCATTTAAAGTGTGTTCTGATTCAATTTCTTTACAGGAAGGCACCTTTAAATTGGTACACATTAGCTGTACATATCGAACTATAATTGAAAATAAAAATGCAAAGTGAATATAAAGAGCAGATTTGTGGGGTTGTTGCTGTCCTTTGTTTTTCTAATCTTCTTCTAATCTTCATTTAAAAGAATTAAGAGCACAATCTTTCTCTAAATGTAGTTCTACTCATGAATTTTATTGGGGCTCATTAAAACCCTTGTCTGCTTTAATCATTTTAAACATTAAATGCTACAATTAACACCCCTATCTCTGGCACCCTTAGAAAAGTAAAAATCTTGAGTCCTCGAAGAGGAAGACAAAGTTCTTATAACAAATTGGTAAGAAATGGTATTTTGTCACGTTGAATTAAAAATTGTAAGAAGAGCTTTCAACTTGAAAGAGTGTTCATTGAGAGGGCCTCAAAGGTTATTTAAAATTATTTTATAAGAAGTAGTATTGAGACACTAACATGCACATCCAGAAAAAATCACCTACCAAGACTAGATATATTTTTCCAGTTTCAAATAAAAAACTTACATGTATCTTGTCCTTCAAGAATCATTGTAATTATTATAGCTATTGGAAACAAGTGTTAATTGGAGTAATACAGCTGTTGCTTGCTATTCAATTTACAATAGTTCTTTATTTTGCCAAGTTATGTAGCTTCCAAATTTTCCCTTTATCTTCTTTTTCCTTCATTACATTCCTCTTTCATATTTGATGTTTTTCTTCCATATTTGGAGTGTTCTGCGTCTCGAAATTCCTTGTGGTCATACTTATCATTCTTACTTTCTCTATCCCTGGAATTCTTTTCTTGTTTCCTATACTCTCTCTTTTCATCACAATCTTTTGATCGATTGTACCTATACTTTTCCTCCCTTCGGTTATGTGTCCTTTCTAAATCCTCTCTCTGATCACTAGAATTCTTCCCGTGTTTGTAATCTTTCATCCTATCTCTTTGATAACTGCTAGTTCTTCCATCCTTCAAGTTGTCTCCCCTGTTTCCTGAATCTTTGGTGTTAACTCTCTCATTTTGACTTTTCACCTCCTTCCTCTCAGTGAATTTTCTCTGGAGTTCCTGGGACTTGTATGTAGTGTTTCCTTCATCAGCTGAAGTTGGTAAAGTTCCAGGAAGCACTCCACCCTGTTCTGTCCCTTTCACAAACCTTATCAACAGTTTTGGCCTAAGAGCCTCCTTCAATCTCAAAGTATCAGCATACTCTATTACTTTTTCAAGGGTATCCTGTTGTTGTGTTGGTGTGGAAGAAAGTTCCTCATTCTCAAATGATGTTCTTGTTTCTTCCTCTGTTATGTCTTCCTCTTCCTCTTCTTCACTACTTGATTCAGCAAATGCAGCAGCAGCAGTAGTCTTGGTAGGTTTAGATTTCAAGCCAAACTGTATAACATTTGCACATTTTTTTTTCCCAAGACTGAAAGAAAGACCCTGCTTTGCAGTAGATATACCAATAGGTCTCTGGGGCTGACCTTGCTCCTCAGAAGACGAACCCATTTTGAAGCTAAAAGGCTTCTTAGCTTGTTGATCTAATGGTGCTAAAGGTGGTGGTGGAGGTGGAGGGACTGGTTCATCAGGAAGGGGTGGAGCAGGCTCAGTTGGAAGAGGAGGTGCAAATTCAAAGGGTTTTGGAGGTGGGACTGCTTGAAAGCTCTTATGTGCTGAGATTGGCTTAAAACCCAATGTGCTGTTTGGACCAGTAGATGAAGACTTGAACACTGACTTAAATCCTCCATTGCCACTGCTAATTACAAAAAACATAAACAAAAACAAATAGAATTATTGAAATTAGCAAGAAAATTCACAACACTCTAGGTATTAATTCATTCAGCCTGATTTGCTCCATTACAGAGCTTACCTAAGTGACAGATTTATAAAATAATAAAGAGTTAAAGGACAAATAAAATAAAATGAGAAAAAGAGGGCTACTTAAGTCGATGCAATGTACAATAACCTTGATTCAGTGTTCTTTCCAGAAATAAGGTGGAGCCTCATCAGTTCCTTTTCCATCTGTTTCTGTTCTTTTTTCTTCTTTGCAACTACAATAAGAAAAATTCATATCATGAGCTGTAAAAATTTACACAAATAAAGCTCTTGTTTGGAATTTCTAACAATAAAACACCACCTTCTTGAGTGATAACCGGTCAAGTCATGCAAATTCATCTCGCCCAAAGTCATGTCCCCCAATTTTTATCACTTGTAAGAACATCAAAATGGTATATGTAATGGTATATTTTTAGAAACCACTGAAGGTAGCGATTAATAAAAACAACCTTTTGGTGTATTTACTTACATTACCAATCCTTCAATAGTAAAAGGTCATTGTAAATGCAACCTGATTCAAACATTTAGCAAACACATACAACCAACATAAACAAGGTTTACTTAATTCAACCTATGATCTGAAGAGTATTATGAAAGTGCTAAACTAACAAGAACAATCTTTGTATTCACAGACATCTTCACTCTTAAATTGTTAATCGAATAAACAAATCAATGCAAAACATATAGTGAAGCAGAGGAAACAGATTGAAACAAATGTATGACATTGTCCTAAAGGAAGAAAATAAACCTGAACTAAACTTCAGCAGATGCAAACTAAACCTGAACAAATGGAAGATAACAGCCAAAATAAGCAAAATACAAAAGAAAACCTAGCATAGAAACAAAGAAAGCACACAACATAGACCTAATTAACATAAACTACCAAATAGACTGTTCAATGCTGCATTTTGTTTCCAACAACGCTTTTAGAGTCATGACTCAAACAAATTGTAGTTCTGACCACATAATCAATTTCTCTGTCTTCATGTTGTTGTTGGCAACCTACACCATTGAGCGATAAAGTTCCTCAGGTTTAAAAAACGTCTATGAGTACAAAACAAGAGATAAAAAAATGGGACAACTTGACTTTTTATTTCAGGAAACATGAATTAGGTTTTGGGCAACATGACTTCCAGGAAAATCAACTGTGAACCTCTTGAGTAACAAAAGAAATAAGGAGGAAAAAAAACTTGAAGCAGATTCCATATAACTTACAAATATTTCTTGTTGATTCTCTTTGCCTAAGTTCCCTGAGTCGCTGTGGAAAGATTGCCATAAAAGAAATCAGTATTGAATAATACATCAAAGGGTGGGTTGTACAGTCATTTAAGATTAATTTGTTAAAAGTCTAAACCAAAAGTCTATCAGAAAATAATTAAACTGCTTTATCAATATCATCCTGAGTTTATGTCAAAAGTTTTTTATCAAATCAAGGCATGAAGATACTCTATGAAACAAAACAATGTTTTCAGCTTAGGGTTATTAAGATGTCACTTAACCTGGCGGTGTGCATGGTCATAAGAGTTGATATGGTTATCATATTCCTTGTATTTAAAATACTGTTTGTCACAAAGTTCACAATAGAACATCTCTTTTAGATCTTTCAAGCTCTCCTCGATTGCTTTTTCCTTCTCTTGCTCATTCTGTGGAAACAAACAAAAGCTTTCTGTCAATGTCCTTTAACTGACTTTAAACAGTATATCAATCAACACATAAAAATCGTAGTGCATTTATCAGGTAACTACTTTTTATCAATATTATCGCTTCATTGTTTATTCTTTGTAGATCCAAAAAAAGGTTATTCCTGGGTAATACAAAGAGGAACTTAAACCTGATATTTTTGCTGCAGTTCTTCATTATCTTCTTTCTCAATCTCCAAAACTTTCCTGTTGCGAGTAGCTTCATCCGCTTGCTCAAACTAACCAGGAAATAAAACAAACCAGATGTTTCCAACACAAATATTTTCTAATGTATTAATTGACTTGAGGTCCATACTGATACTTAGATACTTCACCGTAGAATTATGATCATAAAGAAATCATAAGAACTTTTAAAACCTGTGCCAATGCACCTAAATTGTAAAGAGTTAACAGGATTCACCAATAGAAATTTATACAAAATATATAAGTATTATATAGAGTAATCATCTCATATACAGAAAAAAAAATAAATGGAAACAATGATTATAAATATGATTCCAGTTTAAAATGATAACTTGTATTTTCCTTTGTTAAGAAATAATGTAATGTACCTGGAATAAAGGGAAAAAATTATCAAACCAAAAATCACTTAAAACCATTTGCAACCTGAAATTAATTTCTACCTATGTTATAACAGATACATACTAAACAAGTGTGAAATTTTGTCCATTGTTTAAAGTTGAAAACAAATTAAATCCTTGGTATACTAGTTCTATAAATTACTATGTTACTATTAAATAAAGGAACTCAACTGAGATGAAAGCATGTGCGATTTACTTGAAAGGTCTGTGATTATCAATCCCTTTGTTAGATCTGTAATTAGAGATAACAGAGAGAGATACACACCTCAAGAGTAAGACGGCCGATACATAAAGAATCCTCCTTCATGACAAGAGGTATTGGTTCTGTGCGACCTGAAACGAGATGTAAGCAGGAATTTCTTAAATTGTTTATTAGTGACGGTAAAAAAGACTCAAAGTCACACTGTGACAGTTTTTAGCTGGCATTTTGATAAAAGTATTGAAAGAACTATAAATAGTCACTAGCGTTACCAAACTCAAAGTTAAGCTCTACAATTAAAACGGGCACTTTAATTCAAAGTACACAACTGACTATGATACAACTCCTCTTTACCTTGTTTCTTCTTCCCAAGTCCAGATCCACTGATCCAACCAAGTCGCAAAGCCATCTGATATCCAATATTTTCCTGAAAACGTTACGCACTGAAAAATTCAGCAGGGAAACCAACAACCACTTGAATCTAAATTGTCTTTTCAAATAAAAAAGTTATCTGTCCAATGCACTCGCATACACCGATACAGTTATGCTTACTTAAAATAAAGGTTCTAAGCTTTAATTTCGATCTTTTGTTTCACGCTTAAAAATGTAACTAATAGTCACTATTAGTAAACGTACGGAGCTCGGTAATCATTATTAATTACCTCAGTGATGTGTGCATCCAAGGTCGCCTTTTCCACAGTTGGTTCATCATCATCAAAATGAGATAGATCGGCACCTGCACTCTATAATGGCACAGAAAAGGAAACTCATAACAAACAGACCTCCATAGAATTAAATGGTTCAAGAGTTCTGCAATAATTAGACTCTTTAAAGAGTTTAGGTCAGCTACCTCGTAAGAACGATTCTCGTGAAACCTCGAAAATTTGGCTGCCATTTTGGAGCAGATTATTACGCATGCCTTGTGATGGACTTGCCGCAGTCCAAGCGGTCAGAAATGCTCTCGCATCGACGTCAGCCGCAATTTGCATATTGTGCCAAAATCAAAATATTGGAACAATAAAATCACAATCGATACGATATTTTATTGTTCTGACAATAACTTTTCCTACTATCGGCATCAGTTCAGTCCAGCTGTAACTTCCTGTCTGTCTCTCTGTGATGGAGAATTATTTTCCTTGCGTAGATACCTGATCGTCAACTGTGACTGGGTGGTCGATAATAATTTTGAATGGCAGTGCGACGGCCGTCAATCTCGGTGTAATCGTACGATTATAATGATATTGATATAAACAAAAACGAAAAATGATAATGAAAATAAGGCTTAAATAATGCTGGTAATGTTAATGATAATTCACATTTATACAGAGCCTATTCGAAAAGGTCTGGGCGCCTAAAAACGACAGATGGATAGAAAAAAACCATATCTTAAATTAAAAGCAGATTGAAAAACATACGTGCTAATTTTAGATTTAAATGAAGAAATACCAGAACATGATCATAGAGATGAAATTGATCCATAGTTCTGGAGCAGTGGCAGGAAAGGATCTTGTTCCGCACAATTAAGAACTAAAATCCGCAGGGTTCCCGTAAGAATCTAGCAGAGGAATAAGCTAAAAAAATAAAATAAAAAAAAAGATGTAGCTTGATGAGGGTGAAATCAAGGAGGAGAATGGCTTTTCTTTGGAAAATCAACCAACAATGTACACTGAAAACGTGTTTCAATCATCCGCAAGTATTTTTGCTACAAACAAGGAGAACCAGCCCACACAATGTGACGACCAACGACTCGAAATGACGACATGGAGTCTTCATCAAGGGAACTGCTTCAGTATCAGAAATGATCTACGGGCAAAGGAAAAGTCATGATCAGAACGCCACGTATGGTACAACAACACCAACATTCTAAAACGGTCCGTATCATAATTAACAAATCGAGAATCCTCGATTGTGCTCTATTCTGTTGTAAAGCAACAACAGAACAGAGCACAGTCAAGTCTTCTCTGTTTGTTTTATGATAAAGAATCCGATAAATTCCTCACGCATTACTTTAAATTTGACTTGATCTTTGTTAATGACTTTATCTTTTTGAATAGGCACTGTATAAATGTGAATTATCATTACCAGCATTATTTGAGTCTTATTTTCATCATCATTGTTCATTATTGTGACTTTGAAAAGTCCTTTGGGAAAGTCGGTTCAAAGTTTCTATGCGAAATCCCGGCACCAAAATAAGTAACCCTCACATCCACCAAAAATACTTAGCTAGCGAAGAAGAAAGAATGAGAAACGATGAAAACGATGATGAAATGTTAAATCTTACATGTTGAATGTTATACCCATGTTAAAGTGATCAATTTTGCGATCACTTAAACATGGGTATCAGGTATGAAGCGGTGGTGAGAACCATTGTCTTCGCCACAGTGGCCTGAGTTCGACGTCCACACCTGACGTCACATGTCGGTTCAATTTGTCTTAAGATGGCGTCCTTGCCGTCCGGCGGTTTTAGCACTGGCTTTTACAGTTTTCCAGCCTCAACACAAAGACCAACTTTCCGAATTTCAATTCAAATTCAGAGACAAAAGAAGAAACACCACCTCGAAGAAGTGCCACTATTAAAATCTGAAACAATTTCAATTTTCAAAGCCATAGAATACGCAATTTTGGGTAAGATTCCTTTGTAGTGCTAATAGAAGACATTTTGGGTAAGATTCCTTTGTAGTGCTAATAGAAGACATTTTGGGTAAGATTCCTTTGTAGTGCTAATAGAAGACATTTTGGGTAAGATTCCTTTGTAGTGCTAATAGAAGACATTTTGGGTAAGATTCCTTTGTAGTGCTAATTGAAGACATTTTCCGTCATCGTTCTAATTTCGCATTATACCAAAATGTTCGCTTGACCGCTGATACGAGAGTCAGTCACAAAGTTTGCTTCCCATCGAGAAGCTTCAGGGACATCTGTTTGCCACCGGACAGTAACAGTAAATACTATGTCAGTTTTGACAAGAACAGCCCGCAAATATTAACCTCTTTTGCCAGCGTGTTTGACAAAGTAAGTCATGCTAATAAATTAAATTGAAGATGAATCTGATCAGTCAGAAAATAAAAGATCTCAAAAGTAAGTAAGCGGCACATCTGATGCCGAATAAAGAAGTTTAATGATATGAGCAGGCCTTCATCATTTTCTTCTGAGCGAGTGCGTCACCGAGTAAACAAACTCTGCTGAACATGACAAATTTGAATTAAATCAACAAAGGTTAAAGAAAAAATAAACAACCTGTCAAGAAGTAGTCATATCATCATATTGATAGAAACCCAACCAATAAGCAGGTGTGCTGCGTTATAAAGTTTTCACCTCGATCTGTTGTTGAACTGATAGTCTGCATAAAATCAAGTTTTAACAAAGCTCGTGTATAATTTGTTTTCACTGAGACATAAAACATGATTTAAACCGGTTTACCGCACCATTTTCGGTTGTGTCGAGAAGCCGCTATAAAGTATGTAGTGACTGAATTCTCACCTTGCTTTCCCCGAATAAATCACTTCGTTAGAAAGCCTGCTCTCCATTCAAACAAAAAGCCCCGCAATTGGTTCACTTTAGGATTGCGCAAAAACATTTACACCCCGTTATTAGATCCAATTGTACCACTGAAAGAAGGAAGACGTAACACACCTACATCAAGAGAATGACCCTAGTTCTTTCTTAAGCGTTTTTTACTACTAAAAGAGAATTTTAATTTAGTTTGGCCAGCTTGTCTGTCTATCCTCATAACTTAAATCATTGATACAAAGGCAACAAATGTTATTTTGAAGATTTTTTTAACAATGTTTGTCATTGTCATGTTTGCGGCTTGATATTTCCATCTCTTTTTTTTCTTTTGTGTAAACATTCACTAAACTGCGCAGAAAAATATTGAACAGTTGGTGGCGTTTCCCCTGTTGGACACGATAGTTTAATGCCGGAATGATGAGATTATCTGTGTATTTTAATGCGGCTGTCGAACAAGTACACTGATGTTCTGGGAAAACGACATAAGAAAGACAGTTTACCACGTTATCTTCGGCATCCTTTAGATTTACATATTCTTGTTGTCAATGAACTACTAACATATGGAGCAAAAGAATTAAACTGATCTTAATACAGATATCGTTCAAAAGCGCTGATGGATAACATCTCTCAGTCGCATTAATCTTGAAGGAAACTATGGAGCACTTAGCACCAGCCAGGGAAAAAACGGACCGCCGACACGTGCAACTCCCACCAACAGTTACCTAAATTGTTTTCACGGAAACAATAGAGTGAATATCATACTGTATCACGCTGTACTGGTTTTAACATTAAGAGCTGAGAGAGCGAACTACAGGAATACTGAGCAAAATTTGTCTAAACATGTCGAATGATCCAACCAATTCTACTGATGGAAACACTACCACCGTTTTTATCTACGAACTCGAAGAAGGAATATTACAAGCAGTTTTTCTTTTCGTTATCGTTATTTCTGGCGTCTTCGGAAATCTGTATATTTGCAGCGTAATTTACAAAAACAAGAATTTGAGAAATCCAACTTTTATTTTTCTCGTAAATCTCGCCGTAGCAAACATTGGAGCGCTCACGCTGTGTAGCCCGTTTGCGCTCATTAACAGCATTCAAAGGAGATTCACAATGCAACAACACTGGTGCCTCATCAATGGATTTCTGAACAATTTCTTTTTTTGTATTTCCATTTTCACCTTGTCCCTCATAGCCGGTCAGAATTATTTTTCAATTGTTAAACAACCATCTTGCGAATGGCTTCAAATTACAAAAAATAGGGCCAAGTTTCATTTACTTGCTATGTGGGCTCTTTGTTTCGCATTTTCTTTTCTTTCGCTGGGCCCTTTTGAAAACTGGAGTTACGTGGTGTTTAATCCGACAACAGCGCATTGTGGAATAGCTTTCCCAAATTCACTTGCCGACAAATTGAAGTTGTCATTACTTGCTCTAGTGGCATTTATTGTTCCAATTTGCGGCATGTCTTTCGCGTATTGTCGAATTTTCTTTAAGGTCAGTTCTCACGAAGGCAAAATGAACCAGAACGCCGAACGTCAAGGTAACCAGCTGTCGGTGGTTACCAAAAGACTCGCTGTCACATTATGCCTGATGTTCAGCACTTTTCTTATTTGTTGGTTGCCGTTTTTCATCCTTATTGCACTGGCTATTGTTTCAGAGGATGTGTCGACCCTTCCTTGGTACCTTGGTCGCATTGCCTACTGGAGCGGATACCTAAATTGCGCCATGAACCCTTCTCTATATTGTTTGCGATCTTCTGCCTTCAAAGATGTGATACGCCGACCTTCGTCAGCAAGTGCTGAAGGTTCAGTCAAACCGTTAGTCAACAGGAGTCAGAGGGCTTTCTCACTACCCGCCATATCGTATAATATGAAGCGCCCCATATCAAAACGAGTTGGAAGGCAAAGTTATCCGAACGCCGGTCTGAGCGTATCGACTCACGATCTGCCAACATGCGCCGAGGTGGATGTGGCTCGCTTGAGAGCTTACTCTTGTTCCAGTTATGAGATAAAATGCAAAGAAAACACACAGATAAATCAACAAAGTGTAGAGCTATAGCGAGACAGAGCAGTCAGTACAGGCAGCAGTGTCAAATGAGCAATTTGCGGTGAGTCGTGATGTGAATGCGAGAAAGGAGACATTCGGAATCTGAGCTCGTCACCAATCGGCGGACATAGCCTTTTAACAGCCCAAGGCAAAAAAGGACGTAACCACTTTAATCTGACTTCCGATGTAGCAGTAAAGCGTATCTCATGACTTTCTCGCGCGAGGCGCTCGAGGAAGGTATCTATGTAGGACAAATTATTTCAATTGCAACCAATAGTCGCGTTTTTCGTGAGACAAAATTTCGAGAGCGAACCAAGACTGTCTGATTATAAAACTGATGGTAGGATAAAATGAAAGGATTGCTATTCTACCCTTTCGGGTTCCATGCACTGCAACTATCAAAGCATAAAATTACGCAACAAAAGTACGAACTTTCGCTTACCCTCGATTACAAAATTGTTGACACCTAAAAAGCATAATCTACGATGAAACCCAACGGTTTAATGGGAATGTTCGAATAGTTACATGATCAGTGCTGTAATTTTTCCATTATCAATGGAAAATATTTGTCTATGATAATTCTTTTCTTTTAGGAATGCGTTTACGGCGTCTATCATTTACCACGAGCAACTGATTGTGGTTATTGTGTAAATGCGTACCCGTAAAGCCAATGACTCGTCCTTCATTGCGAACACTTTTTAGGCGTCGACGTTTTTGCAATCGAGTGTATCTGTAATGTAAGAAAAGAAGACAACAAATTGACAATACTAAAAATTTATTTCATGACAGTAATTTCAGTGTCAAACGTAAGACGTTTTAAGGCTCCCTTAACAATGATAAACTTAGCCTAAATTACTAATAGAAGTGTTCATACAGTGAACAACAAAAAGCCAAATTTATTGTTATGTACCAAAAAAAAGGAGTGTGACGGAATGGAACAAAATTTAAAACGCCTCTTTAAAAATGGCAAGCACTATTAGTATTGTTTTACGTGAATGCAAATAAACCTTGATTTTTGAGTGGAATTTCAATTAAAAAAAAAACATCTTGTTGAGGCCTGGACGGCTAGTTTACATGAATATATAAATATAAAAAATAGGAATCAGATATAAAAAATAGAAATCAGATGTCTATGTACGACGCCATAACTGTCTCTGTTTTTTTATGATCCTACCTGGTAAGTTCTCTAGAGGTTTGTTGCTAAGTTTTCTTTTTCTCTCCACAAATCCCTCCACCCACCCCTTCCTCCTTACCCTCACCTTACCCTGGAGCTTAGTATTCAAGCTTCTCAACAATTGTTTTTTGTTTCTTTTTTTCAATGAAGTAGTTTGGCTGCTGAGCATGTTGCTAGCACAATTTGAATAAGCACCCTAAGAACATTTCGATTTCTCCTCCAACAGCAAAAATGTTTCAAATTATGAGATAATTACTTTGATTTAAAGGATATTTGCATACTGCACATTGAACCAAACTTACTACATTAAGTATAGGTAAACTACAATATATCAGTTACATTGGCTTCAACCCCACAAAAGCCCGCAACTGTTCAAAAACAAAGAATGTTACAACTGTGTGAGTTCCAGTTCTTGTCCAGTTTGGTATAAACCCTTTATAGAGACCAAAAAGCCCTTCTTTGTGAACTGTCTTTGCTATACAGTCTATCGTTCCTCTGTAAAGCAGTGGTTTCTTGTTGCAATCCTTCTTTTGATTCATATACCTGGTGCGCACCATGTCTATTGGTGATGAGACACAGTTTGTCACAAATCCTGCTATGGAGGAAGCCATTATGTGCAGAACAGGTCCTTCCTGAAGAAGTCCAGCATTTAATATTTTATGTTTGGCATGATCATATGAAGATACAGCTGTAGCTGATACAAGTGCAGACCTTTTCACTGTAGCATTCACACCTGTCCAAAGTCCACGAATTCCTTCATTGGCAACAATTGCTTGAAATGCATGAAATGTGTGTCTATACTCCCATTTATTTCCAGATGGTAGTGCCATCAAACGGATCTTTACCACATCAGTAGGGCAAGCTATGGCACTTCCAATTGCGCCAGCAATTGCTCCAGAACAGACCTTTTTCCACAGTGGTGTGTGTGCAGGGTCTGTTGCTCCAAACCACTCTTTCAGAGGTTCATACAAGCCTAGTCGCAGTGTACTGTAACTGGCTTCTCTCATCAGTGAGGGAGTGATACTGGAGTAAAGAAGATAAAAGGAAGATTTTTGGTAAGACATTGAGCCTCTTCCTGTTCTGTTTACTGGAGTAAATTTTCTGTAAGCAATCCTAAAAGCATGGAAATTCACTAAAACAACATCCTCTGATTAATGGAATATACATGTTATAACATTCTGATTGCACTTGAATCATATAGTGGAAAGTTGTGTATAAATTTTAAGTCAATCATTTTAGTGCGCTAAACACCAATTTAATATTTGAACTTTCCATACTTCTTTATCATAGTACATAATACTCAGCAGCTCATTATGTAACACTTTGATCAATCAGTATTGTCTAGTTGACAAATAGGTTCCATGTTGTTGTGTCTGATGAGCTATACATCACAGATGACATCAAAAGATGGTAAGAACAAAAAGGGGGCACACAAGGCATAGCTAATGTTCTTACCACATTTTGACATTCTCAGTGAACTTTTACTCAACAGACCCATTGAAACAAGGGATCTATTTGTTTCATATAAAATAGAAACAAAAATTGTTAAAATAGACATGACTAAAGTCCTCAAATAGATCAAAACTGGGAACCAATCAAAATGCAAGCATATTTGTTGATCAGCTTATTATATAAAAAAGACAGCTTACCTATGTTACAAAGAGAGGATACTTCTGAAGCAAATTTTGATCAAAAGTTATCAGAAATATGCATATGCAACATACATGAAGTCAATATTAATTACTATCCTTTTCATTCAATGAAACTCTTCTGGTAAATCCTGGCCATCTTTTCAGACAGATATCCAAAAAATGAAATTTTATGGTTTTCCCTCTTCACATCAATGCAGAGGCTTAACAAGAGAACAGAACCAATGCCAGAAGAACTCACTCTTTTGATTGAAAATTAAACCCAAACAAAATTCATTTGGATACAAAACAAAAATATGCTTGGAAAGAAAATTCATTGACAATTTTTGTTTACTTGTTTTATGTAAGCATCAGCCTAAGATCACATCAATTAATTGTTGCAATTGCATTCCATAACTGAAATAGCCATCTGACCCATTACAAAAGCTCGTCTTTTCTGCATGAATCATTATAGTTCTCACTTACCCATTTAAGGAAATTATTAAAAAGGGAAGTCTTACAAAAGATAACAATTTTTAATTACTTTACAGCTAATTAAAAATTACCTAACCCTAACCATAGAATGTTACTTCATTTGACATTCAAATTTAAATTATTTCTTACTGCATAAATTGGCCCTCAACTCTTTAACTCCCATGAGTGACCAAGACAGAATTTCTCCTCAAAATATCCATACAATATCAAGCAGACAAGTGACAAGAATAAAGAGAAATATCAATTAGGGATTATAAGTTGATCTGATAACAAATTCTCAGAACTAAAATCAAAAGAATTGTATGGCAGTCATCAAGGAGAAGTATTAATGAGATCTTGAGAGTGAAAGGGGTAAGGCATATGTTCAGGTGCTAGTGCTAACTCACCCTTTGTACAGACCACGTATCCCTTCCTCATGAGCAATTCTTGCTGCCCCTCGAACCAAACCACGATAGTAACGGTTATGAAATATGTTTCTGCTTTCATGTTGGGAGCCCAATTCATTATCAAGCTGCATGCGAGTCTTAATTACATCTATAGGATTTGTAACTAGAAGGAAAATGAATTACAGTTACATTTTGGTGAAAATGCAGGGCAATCAGAGGCAAGTTTTAAAATACCTGAGTATTATAAAATGATTATTTTACATTGAGGAACAACCATAAACACAACAAGATAAAAATGTTGCAGGCTATTACTTGACTAGCTCTTACATGTCACTAACTTGGTGACTTTCCCAGGAGTTTCCAAAATTACCTACAATTCATAAATTATGTGGCTCTACTTATCAGTTATCTTTTGTGACTTGAACTTGGCATATGTAGTCTGGCAGCTGTGGGGGAGGGGAGGAGAGGGGTGTGTGAATGGGGGCCAACTTGAGTGACATCCCAGGTTACTTCATTCCAACAACATTGTAATAAAGGTACCTACAGGATTTATGTGTTTCTATCACTGATATTCCACAAATTGGCACGGAAAATCAAGGTCTCAACTACTTCAAGACCTAACTTTGTCCGATGCAATTGCCTGTTTAAATTTCATTGTGCATAACACTACAAAGTACGTCTTTTAATAAGCTCAGTTACTCATATTGACATCCTCAACAACACCACATCAACCAAAGAGATAAATTGTTAGCAAAACGTTACATTAATATGAAAACCGACCCTTAAATTCACGAGCAGTTCCCAAGAGGAAATAATATGTTTTATCGTCTATCATAAATAATAATGTACTAGTTTTATAAAAGCGACTTCATAGTCGCTGTGACATTCAGAAATTCCGCTTGGGTCAGCTTGACTAAATACTTCACGGTCCATTCTTGCAGTATAAACAGTATACAGTAAGAGCAAAGAAGAATATAACAATCTACTGAACCAAGCAGAGCTTACCTGTTGCTGCGCACATGCAGGAGAGCCCACTCAAAGCAAAGCGAACTAAATTTTCATGTTCTTTACTCTGACGTCGTGGCTGTCTCTTTTCGCACAGTCCTGTCGCCATTTGGTCAAAGACTCTTGATTGTCACCTTTCTTGCTGGTTATTTACAAGAATCTCCGAGGGAGCTTTACTCACTGTCCTCCAGAAAATCACGAAATCTTCGATGATAAAGCGCCGGCATTGCATGTTTCGATGGGTAATCGAAAGACCGACTTAATATTTACAACAAGAACAAATAATCCTCCAGAGATGACCGATCGAAGCTTATTGCGTATAATTCTACCAACAGACAGCTGCAGGACTAGCAAACCCTCTACAGAATCTAACAGAAAGAACCTGAAGAAATAAAACCTGATCGACTGAAAAAACACAGGCTCAATATCTCAATACATGACGTAAGAAATAATTTGCACTTTATAACACGTGCAACGGAACCATGGAATAATAAGACCATGGAATGACAACCTGGGAACGAGGTTTAGGCACAGGTTATCCACCTTACCAAATCAAAGCAGTTGACTACAGTCCTGTGGATTTCGGTCAGAATAGTTATTGATTCGAGCAGGGTCTTAATGTCATCAATATTATTTTTTGCCATGCTGCGAAATTTAGCTGTGCATCTGTAATTAGTTTTCACCGTCGGCTTGGAGTGAGATTCAATGAGATGGCGTCATCAGCCAGTGTCAGCCTCGCACTCACCACCCCAAACTAGAATTTTCGCTCAACCATTCAATGGTTCTTATGATTTCTGGTTTCTGATCAAAAAGATGTGACTCCATTTCTCCGGCGAAATTTTGGTTTTAACAGTCGCAGGTCTACATTGTCCTTTTTGGGGATGCCGTCAGAGTATGTGTCATGACAGGCTTATCTCCCGTGTAGATCTCAAAGGGGTCACTCCATCGAAAGACTTGAAATTTTTGTAAAACTAGCCGTTACATTAGAATAGAAATACACTTCACATTCCAGTATCATGTCAGATACCACTGAAGGGTCATCTCCATTCTCGCCACCTTTCTGCGTCAGTGAGTAATGCAGGAAAAAAGAGGGAAGAAATTAGATTTCAATCTATCGAAAAGGCAAATAACAAACCTCTCTGGTATGGCCGTAAAACCAGCATGTTACCCCTGATGAGTTCTCGTATTTTCTCAGACGATACAAAAACATTTCAAGAATATTTCCTGCTCTCTCGAATTTTTTACACGATCTCAGTGTTTGAAGTCACTATTTCCCCGAGTATCCTATTGATTGCCATGACCTCATATCATCACCGAAGAACTCAAATTACACGCACATGCGAACACTTGGCTCTTTGTGCTTGTATTTCAATCGCCTGCAGTGGTTCCTTGTAGTCGCACGCTGACGACGCTCGCCCTTCGTCAGATTCTTTCGGGCAGAAAAGCGACGGCAAGCGAACTAACGCACAATCTCCACGTAAAACTGAAGTTAAAAACTTAGTGCTGCCGACAGTCAAATGATGATCACGAGGTTCTTAGTATTGCTGTGGCTCAGTAATTGGGTAATCGGAACGTTCAGTGAAAGTAAGACACGATTTAATTGTCTAAATACATTGAGTGTTAAACTAATCTACTAAAAGTATTCCAGGAACTATTATCACCCAACCTACAAATTTGTTTATACTTGTGAATTATTCTCACTAAAAACAAGTCTGCATTTGTCTTAAATCAGCATAATTACTAATGGATTTTTCTACATATCACCTTTCCGGCCATTTAAGTCACAGAGCTTATTGTTTTGCACAATGCTCCTTACAATCCAAAGCGCGAGTTCTACAATGTCTTTCAAGACATGAACGGCTAATTGATAACCTGTATATTACAACCTTCGTTTGAAAAACAGCCCCTAGAGACCCAAATACATTACATTAAATCGATATTAGCACGAGATACAAGTAGTTGATCACCATTTCATCACAACAGTCACGTGCCGCGGAAAGCAGACGAATTTCGCGTCCTCACAATAGTCCAGTAATTTTCTCTTTTCCCTCTGAATCTAAAGGCCAGTTTGAATATTGCATTTCGATCAATTATCTTCAAATCCTTTTCCTATCAACAAGATAATGTTTTGTCTGTATCAGCAGCGCCAGCTGCCCTTTTTTCGTAAGGCTACCGACCGAATTTGTCGCAGGTCAAGTGAGGCATGTAACTTAACAATGTAGTAAAGAACAGAGTCGTTAGCTTGACATGGAGACATAACATGTAACACTGTGTCACAGATTCCGCACTTGGACGCTGTTCCACTTTACTACTGTAATGATCATGCCATTATTAGGGTTAGGGTTGTCATATGTGACACACGTCCAGCCTGCTGTTAGGAATAGCAATGCCGAAAGCTTCATGTGAGTAACTAGAATAAGAAAGATGGTAACTTTTGAACTCGGCAATGGAATCAAGATTTTACATGTTTTTCTGTATCGTCACAAGCGTGAGACAAAGAGAAAAAATCGTTGGACGCAGAATAAACACGAAGTCCTGCGTCAGTATGTAAGACCATGAAACGACTCGAGGCTTCACTTTTGTTATTGCAATCAAGATCATTTGGTTCCCGCCTTTTAAAAACTTGAATAAGATTCTTAAGATTCCATTAAGCCTTCAATTACGTGTCGCCTATCAATAACGCAGTAAGTGATTATGACTCCAGGCTGATCTTAGAGTGGTCATGTGAATGACCAAAGTTTTAACAGTCTGTGCGGAAGTCAAACGGTACTTACACACATGCTAACCTTAGGCTGATACAGAACTTTAAAAGGGAAAATTATTTAATGATAATACCATATAGACTCAGTAAATAGATTAATATAACCTATGATAATATCGATAAGAGATTTACAATAAAAAATGCATACAACTTGAAAGCTAAAATTTTCGAATGACCTCAACTTTTCTTTAAAAATTAATCTAATACCTTGAAAAAAGTAATAATGATGAAAATTTTATCCCATCTTCAGTGTTAACACCTTGACTCTGATAATTGTTTTGGGTAATTGTTGTTGCTTCTAGAAATTTCCAGACTGCCTAGTCATGCTGACTTACGCGCCAAAGAACTTTCCAGAACATTTCATCAAATTACACATTTATTATGTAATACTCCTAAAATAGTTCCCATGTAAGCTTCTGGAATGTTCCAGAACACTTTGTGAATATATACAAAGACTCACTTATGTAGTAGTTGTTGTTGTCGGAGCGACGGCTGTTTTGAAAGCTATACCGAGAGAGAGTTACTGCGGATGATGGCTTATTTCAAGAAACTTCGGAGACAGCGGTGAGATTGTGTCATTGGTGAGCTAGGATATAGACTGGGGTGGGGTTAATTAAGTTTATTAACGATAAGTATTGTACTGCTTTTGGAAGTCGCTCCTTGTTAAGAACATTATTCGCTGTTTAATAAAGTAGTTGAGTTTGTGGGATTGTAGTGTTTTTCTGACGGTTAGATTATACCGTGCTGTTGCTGATTTTTCCAGTTCATTATGTTAACTGACAGCCTGCCTTATTAGCAAGTTGACCAAGTAGTGTGACTGTCTGGGGAAAGGTTGTCAAGACAGTTATTGGTGGAAACGACCTTTTTAATAACCTTTTCGAGCAACGTTGATAACGTTTATAAACTCCGACGATGACTTCAGCGCTAGTTAACGAAACGTCAGTGACTTCTACCTATTACAGACATTTTCCCCCTCAGACGGTCACATGACTTGCGTAAAGGACTCAACTGATTTTGTGATAAAGACTGCAAGTTCCTGTTTGTTCCTGTATTATCAATAAATTAAGAGCAAATGTGTACTACACGTTTCGTTATCACACCGTAAATAATAATTTCTGGTGTAGGAAACATCAAGACAACTTCGTACAGGATAAGACGGCAAACAGACGTCACTGATGGGGATGGGGTAAGTCACTAGTTGTCTGTATGGGTCTTGCAGCCCGGACAAGTGAAATTTGCGTCTGTAGGTTCAAGTCGCAGTTTTAACCTTACGGTATTTTTAATGTCGATTGCTTGTCATTGCGCCTGACTGCGTTCGCTTTTTACATTAGGACCAACAGACCATCACTGTCACAGGGGAACCAGGAGATGCTGGAGCCGAAGGAGAACAGGTTGGGGATAAGTATTTCTCTGCTTTTGCGCACATCTTTTTTCTGCTTGCGAAAAATGATGACTAGTCTACGTTTACCGACGCGGGTGCGAAATTTACGTACAGAACAAAGGACGGCATACTCATGTGGCTTAAAGGAGTATTTTCATTTAACTGTAAAATATAAATTAAACTGACAACTGAAGTGCATATGCGATAAATAACTGATATGGTGCCCCGGCCCCCTCCAATCTCTATGGTTGAGTCAAAAAATAAAGGCGTCAGTTGCCAGATTTTCACACAGATTTTTGGTTTGTTCGAAGAAAGGAAATTAAAGAAATAGACTACATTTTATTGCAGTAAAAAAGTATGCTACACTTGTCTTTGTATCATTAAAACATGTTTATGTGACGATCTGACCATTGCATACCCCTTTAATTTCTATTTCAATTAACTGGGTTCGACTGTAGTTTTGACTGAAATGACTCTGAGAAATAACGTTTCATGCTATGCGTCCTGTGTGTCAAAAAAAAAAAACAGTCACGTTCACACACCTACGCCTATCATCATCGCATTTTTAATATCACTGTATAATCTGCTGCAGGGCCCACCTGGATACACAGGACCCCCAGGAACACAGGGACCGAGAGGATCACGGGTAAGTTATCAAGAAATAAAAATAACCGATCGAAAGCGAGGACTAGGAATTAATGGGTAAGTTAATGTGGGAAGCCTGTGCCTTTGAAAAATAGGCACAGTGCTTTGTCACTTATCAGAAGAGTTTCAGTTTCAAAACGTAATTTGTTGAGATTCAACCTGGTATATCTACTGAAAGACTTTTCACCACACTCTTCGCTGGCTTTTCTCACAAGGGTCCCCAAGGCAGCAGGGGTCAGCAGGGTATTACAGGACCTCCTGGTCTCCCAGGCCCGCCAGGACCCCCGGGAACCACGCTGGTAAGTGCAATTCTTTTCTTCTTAATGCTAGGTTAGAAAAAGAAATTGTCCTGCGCAAACTCATTCTGGCAAGTAAAGGGAAGCAGCCGGTCGAAGTGAGTGAAGTTGGTGGAGAAATTCGACGTTTTGACACTGATGCTTTCATCAGAAACGTTATGTCAACGTTGTGCAGGTTGAAAAAGCTTCGCTTCGATGTTCTGTAATGGGATTCTTTTCAAGATTCCATTTACAGATAAGATGCCATAATCCCTTGTAGCGCTAAGGAAGGTGACGTAAGGCGAAGAAGCTTTTATTTCTTTGCCGATCTCTTCATGACTCAATCTGCTCATGTTCCTCTTATTCTTGTAGAGTAAGTTGTCTTCCTCTCAATTGCAACTTAAATTCTAACAGGTGGGAGCTTTTACGGTTAAGGTCTCTCAGCAATCTTATCATCACAGGCAGTTTTCTTCAAAGAAATTATCGTAATCCGTTCCCTACTGCCTCTTATAAGAAGCAATCTTCACGACACGAGGTGCCTAAGAATGGTTTTGTGGCTTAATCCGTCGCTAATTGAATTTTTGCAGTACGAGTCGATACCTGGCGAAAAGGGACCTGTCATTCGACCAATCGTTGTGACAACAGCTGCCATAAAAATGAAGGTACTGAATGGTCGGTTTTGTAATCAGCCTCAGTAGGTGATGAGACTGTTCCTCGTTGAACATGAGATCTTAAGGCGACGCGTGACAGTTGGAATGGGGGCTGCGGATAAGTACGTAGAGGGAAAGGGTGGGGTAGAGGGGGCTAGGATGGTTGGAAGACTATAAGGCTACAAGACTATCTTACTGTTTGAATGTCAAGCTGTAGATTAGTATATCGTCATCAACTACTGAATGTTCTATAAAATAAAAACCTCACTCTCACGAAATAAAGAGGAAGATTCCTTGTTGTTGTAACCACACGCATTTCTCTTTACTGACTCTGTTAGGTAATTAGAGGAGCTCCTGGAGCCAAAGGACTTCCTGGCTCAAGGGTGAGTGTTGATTGGCTTGTTTTAGTCTCATTGTCAAATCTAACTGAAATAAAAATTCTGATATCTTTGAGAGATTTGCTTCTTATTCTCATCAGGGCATGATGGGTATTTCAGGAGAGCCGGGAGGAATTGGTGAAATGGGCGTCAATGTAGGTACCAGTCTTCTTAATTTTGAACATGGAACTTCAAGTTAAACTTCGTTAGTAATATTTACCTATGAGAGAGGAACCCACCAATCGAAAGCTTTTCTTAGCAGTAAGACTATCAATAAAAGATCCTGTAGTTTCCTTGCTTAATTGACAACAATATTAATTCTACCACGATAACTTACATTCTTCTATTGTGGCTCCAGAATTTTTCAGAGAAACTTGACGACTAGCTCTAACTTGTTATAATTCATACTTTTTCTCGCATATCTTATACAATATCCAACGTCTTCAGGGCTAGAAAACATTTTCTTTTCTTTCAGGGAGAACGTGGTGATCCTGGTGGACCAGGTCTGCCCGGATTAGATGGAACTCCAGTGAGTCCAACAATGCTCTATGTACTTTCATTTTCAGCAGGTGACAATTCAAAGGTCAATGATAGAATAATAAACATTTTAAACAGTTCAACCTCAATTTTCTACAGGGTGAGAGAGGAAAACCTGGCAAACAAGGGCCTCCTGGTATGAAAGGATATCAAGTGAGTTGGACAGTTTTTTTATTTAATGTTCCGTAGATAGCAACCGTTTTCACCGTCGAAAGAAAAACATTAACGCACAAAGCTGAAAGAAATAATGTGGTTGTATTGTGCATCTCATTTGCAACTGTCTTGTAAAGCAAACATTTTGTGGAGAATCATCAATCTTAACTATGTAAACTATCTGCTAAACCTTACAGGGTGGTATTGGCGACTCCGGTTATGATGGAGTCCTGGGTCGTGATGGTCACCGCGGAAGGCGTGGTAAACCAGGTCCTAAGGGTTTCCGTGGTGACGACGGAGACGAGGTAAGAATGAAGTCAAGTGAACTGTAGAACGCTGCCTTCTTATTGTGATAAGGCATCTGCCTTGGAGAGAGCCTTAAAAGCGATAATCCGTGAAACTGGAGCCAGATCGGAAATCTGCGGACACGCAGGTTAACCGATTTGGCTCAAATTTTGCATGTAAACTTGAATAGGGGTTCTAATCACGAAATGGATATTTTCAGACCCTTGCCCGACATTTACGGACTATCGCTCTTAAGATAAGTCAAACTCCTGGCAAGGAAAATTAGGTGATTCACAGTGACGAAGAGGTAAGAGTTCAGAGTTTGCTTGTTGCAGCACACGCACCCAGTAATTCACTAAAAGCCAGACAGATCAAATTTATATCAACGTGGATTTATTTTAAGGGTTAATTTGTCGCTTAAATTGGAGAATACAAGAGAAAAAAAAAAAACCCCTTCAGTTTATTTGTGTTCTGATGTTCCTTTTAACAGTGACGTCTGCCTTCTAATCAGGGGTCCGTAGGACCGGATGGGACTCAAGGACTTGACGGTGAACAGGTAAGGAGACTGAATTATCTCATCTATTACAATAAAATAAAGTTGTTACTTTTGCAGTTTCTGCTCCCCAACATCTGAGACAAGCTAACACCGGAGATTTGAAGAAGGTCAAGACCCACTATTTTCCCTTGGAGTCGCACATGATTATAAAAACGTTTGTGGTTTTATAAATATATATGTATATATATATATATATTTTTTTTTTTTTTACATTTCGTAAGGGTAGTCCATTGTCTCTTTCAGGGAGATCCTGGGCCCCATGGAAGGCAAGGAACTGTGGGATATCCTGGTGACCTTGTAAGTCACGTCTCACAAGAAACGGTCTCAAACTTCCGATATCTTCGACCAGTTGTTTCAATGTGCGATAACTGTTTGCACTGAACATTTCCTTAGAACTTAATAACTGGTTTAGGTTAACGCTTGTGACATCCTCCAAAAACCTATGCATAATGTTACCAGACTTTGGAAAAACAGAATGCTTTTATTAACAAGCATGGGAAACGTAATTAAATGTGGAGCATGCACGGATTCAGGTCTGTTAACAACAATAAACATCGGATTTTTGCTTTTACCGTGGGATTTTTTGTTTTAGGGAAGTCAAGGTAAAGCAGGAGCTGAAGGAGACATCGGGCTTGAAGTAAGCAAAGAGAGATGTCTCTTTATCAAAAAAAAAAAATAATAATAATAACTTACGCTTCAAATATTTATGTTACAGTTGGCGACTTTTCTCTTGTTAAATCGTTTCAAATGTTTCCCCTATCATTCTGCCAGGGATCTAAAGGAGTAGCGGGGCCTCCTGGTCTCCCAGGCCCCCCTGGGGAGGTAGGGTCAACGGGACAAGCGGGTGAAAAGGGACCCCTGGGATATCAGGGGGAGAGAGGCTCCAGGGGCTCCACAGGAACTCAGGGGCCCCCTGGAAACAGTGGGGATGACGGCATCCAAGGTAGTCCAGGCTTCAAAGGAAGACAGGCAAGTGATGGCTTTGCTGTGTCCTAGTGATACTCGTGGCAATAAGCTATCATTATCAATAATTTAGATGAAGTGTTAAATTATAGAGACTCAAGAGAAGATAAATATATGTTATTTGCCGGCTAAGGGTCGGTCCGTATGGTGAAACACTGTGACCGAGGTCTTGAAAATACTGCCCGAGGCCGTAGGGCAGCATTTTCAAGACTGAGTCAAGTAAACTGGGTACTGGGTACTGGCAATAGAGGTGATGCAAATTCAAGAGAGATGCCTCAGCGAAACATTTTCATTTCC